TGTTGGATAAGGGTCGTTCCCATTACATGATCAAGGTCTATGTAGCAGCTATAGCAGCTTCTGACGCTCCTATAGCCGGCCAGTCAGTGGGCAGGAACAACTTGGTTGTTCGGTTTCTATAGGGGTCTAGGAGGCTGAATCCGCCTTGCCCCCTTACTGTCCGTACATGTGACCTGCCCACGGTCCTGAGGGCTCTTAGCAGTGGTGAGCGGTGACTTTTTAAACCGGGTATGCCTGCATCAGCTAAATAATTTTTTTATTCCGAGTGAATAGGAGTTAAAACCCCCACCCGGGTGACACTACTCCAATAACAGACCATGCAAAATACCAAAAATATTTAAAATATTGCAAAGTAACGTTGCAACCTTTCAAACAATAATAAAATCAGAGAAGGACTTTAACTGTAAGCTACACGAGCATACGCAAAACAAAGAGAACAATATGATGTTTGTTATTATTAAAATTTTATATAGCCCACGTTTTTTTTAATTTACCGCTTAGGCAATAACGTTGACAATAACGTATATCTTCAACATACATCTATGACCAAAGAAGATATGTTTTCAGTGGACTTTTAAAATTTGCTTTGCTTGAGAAAACAAAAATATACAGTTACGGTGTTTTTTTTCTTTTGAAAAATATTTAGTCGAGTTGGTTTTGCATCAAACACAATGTGATTTTCGGCAATCGAGATCTGACAGCAACAGCACATTTTTCCGCTTGCTTCACGGACAGCTTACCTAGCGCATTAAATCAGCCACAGACCAGCAAATCACTGAGAGCGCGCTACAATCCTGATGACTCATAGCAACAGAGCAGATGCGAGAAAGCTGCGGAGATTCCGTTCCGGAAGCAACCGCAACTGGTAGATTTAAAGAAAATTACTGCCTTTTGGCAAATAAATCATTTTATGTACTTATTCCTAACTCTTTAAGCTTTAAGTTACATTTCAAATGTCAAGGGATCAACTTATAATCATGTTTATATGAATTATCCCGTGAACTTATTATCTCAAATGGCCTGGGTATGTGGAGCATTCGCAGCTTATATGGACGGAACGCTACTGGCTCTTAGGAGTTCCCCCTTTGAGCCACTACAATCAGCCAACCTCTGGCCCCTACCGCTAAAGACCGCCCTGCTAGCTTTAGCATCGGTCAAGTGAGTAGGAGACTTGCAGGCACGCTACATGAGCCCTACCTGCGTTGAGTTCAGGCCAAGCGACTCCAAGGTCGTCCTGAAGCCAAGGCATGGTTACATACCTAAAGTGCTCTCCACTCCATTCAGGGCACAGGTTATAACACTCTGTGCTTCCTCCCTCGGAGGATGACCAGGAGTTAAAATTTCTCTGCCCTGTCAGGGCTCTGAGAATTTACATTGAGCATTCCACCCCACTCACTCTATGCTTCAGCTGTATGCTTCGGTGGCCGCGCCAAAGGGCTTCTGCTTGAAGCAGAGACTTTCCCGATGGATAGTTGACGCGAATGCGCTAGCATACTCCTCCTTGGGCCTGCAATGTCCCATGGGAGTAAGAGCCCTAAGAATTTACATTGAGCGTTCCGCCCCGTTCAGGCAGTCGGAACAACACTTTGTATGCTTCGGTGGCCGCGCCAAAGGGCTTCCGGTCACGAAGCAGAGACTTTCCCGATGGATAGTTGTTGCTATTGCACTAGCATACTCCTCCTTGGGCCTGCAATGCCCCATGGGAGTAAGAGCCCACTCCAGTAGAGGTGTAGCCTAATCCTGGGTATGGCCTAGCAGTGTGTCCATTGCAGAAATCTGTGCAACGCTGACTGGGCCTTGCCATCCACCTTTACCATGTTCTACAACCTGGACGTCCCGGCCTAACAGGCCCGGGGTCCTTTCTTCATAATAAGTTGGCACGCACCTGCCACAAGGCAGGACCAGTTCTTCAGTCTTTTGCCTTACTTCTTGAATGCTCTTGGCCCTCCTTAAGTGCCGAGGCTGTACAGAGTTTTTCTTGGAACGATTATTCAAGGCCGGGCTGACCTCTGTGAGTTTAGCCCTGTTTGCTTCCTGCGGGGCTTACTCTGCTAATACTTGGTCCATCTGGGCCCCTTAGGTGCTTAAGGCAAGTTCAAGTATTGGTCATTCCTCTATCATAGCACGGCGTGACTGTACTGGTTCCCCATCATGTCTAGCGATGCAGTACAAGTGGAGTATCGATAGGGAACGTACTCAGTTACTAACAACTTCACAACTTCGTTTTATTAACAATCACTTGTTACAGTGTACCCTTAGGGTTGAAAAGGGGCGGAACATTTTCCAGTAAACTTCCAGAAACTTCCCAGAATTTTGGAAACTTTCCAGGATTTTTTTTTTTTTTAATTTTGGAAATTTTTCGGAAACATTTGGCAATTTTCTGGATTAAAAAAAAAAATAATAATAATAATATATGCAAATATACGTATTGCTTGAAAGCAATTTTTAAACAATAGGCACTTGTCACACTAATCACTGAATTTTCCCACAACCTATTATGCTTTTATTTGTTTCAAATAAACCCTTCCCTACAAGGAAAAAAAACAACAACACAAACTGTGGTCAATTAACCATTTCAAAGTGTGTAGGCCTATATACAGATAGTCAAAAGTCTGGTTCTGTAAAAGTAAAACTGCATGTGCACAAATGCATTTACTGTGCACTATAAAAGTTACACTGGCATGTTTGGGTGGTGAAACTATGTGGTTTGTTTCAGTAAAATGGCAATCTCTTAATTTCCTGTAAGTGAACTGCACTGTTTGTCATGAAAACCCTAGGCAACCTCTCTCATGTTGCATGCAATGACTGACTGAGTGTCCATAAACAAGATATTGTAATCATGCACACACTGTGTAAATTTTACAGAAGCTCAAATGAAGTGGTGTACTTCACAGAGTCAGCAGCTTTTGTAATGTTAATTGCCACGGAACTTGTTCAACGAAGCGCAGAACGGGTGAAATCATCCATACAGCATAATGTTGCATAGCTTCCTCCACCCTATTAAGAATATAATCAAGGGCATCTTTATTAAACTCATAATGAAAACAAGCAAGGCCACAATAGTGACTAAGAATGCAGTTGCGCTGAAGAGAATGGAACAGTTCAGCTTTATTTCATTAATCCTGCATTTATAAATTAATAATGTGGAGATTATCAGAGGCATAGACATATTAGCATTCCTTCAGCCAATAAAATTGAACTTTTGGCTTTTGAAAATTGTGGTGTGGTGCCTGCATACAGTTTTATTAAATCAATATGAAACTAACAAAATTATGTAAGAAACAGGACAATTGCAGAGTTTAGGACTACTATACAAACATATCTCAAAGTGTAATGCTGTGATTGACCAATCAGAATAAAAAAATTCCATGGAACCGTGTAATAAAGTCTATGCTAGGGCAGGGTGGCATGACCATAAATGTGTGCAACGGTAGAAATTTTAACCAGTAGAGATTTTGCTATACATGGAGTACATTTACATGTGCATTCGCATATAGTGGTTCCATTTTTTATCCAAAGTGACTTACAGTGAGGACAATAGAAGCAATCAAACCAACAAAATAGCAACAATATGTAAATGCTGTGACAAGTAGCAGGGTAATGCAAAAATGCAGAGCAAGATCTTTCTCAAACTAGCCAAGATGAGGAAAAACATCAGTTCTTAGTTAAGCGGTGTAATGCAAAGTGGCATAACATAATTTAGCAGATGTGTCATCAGGTATGTGGATACTGCATATTTTATAACAGACTGGATTGTGGCTCATCTACAGAATTTGAAGTTAGAACAATCTGCTGGTTTGTGTAAAAGTATCAATTAACATAATAAAAAAAGTATATAATAAAAATGAAATAAATAAAACATTAAATAAACATTTAAAAAATGTTCACTTTTTTACCATTTAATTTCAAACAAAATTAAACTCTATTGTGACAAAGACTATGATACAACATTCATGCAACTCAGGCTCAATGAAAATTCATGTTTGTTGTGACATTACTGCAACACCAATATTACATACCTTACTGCACATTTCACAGTGATTTGGTTTCAAAGTGAAATATCCAGTGAGTGGCACTAAAACGCGCATTCAATATGTGACTGTAGCCACGTTTTTATGATGTTGGTTAAGGTACGTATTGCAGTGTTTTTATTCTGTTGCTTCAGGTACGTATCGAAGCAGTTCAGAATTCAAATGTCCAGTGAGTGTCGTTAAAACTTTAAAGCTACATCGTGTTGGAAATTAACATACCCCCTAGACCAAACCCAAGCATAAACATTCCCAATAGTGTTAACGAAAGAATTTGCTCATGCATCCGTGCTATTTTAACTTTCTAAGCGATTTTGACCTGTTTTGTCGAACCGTAGTTTCACGGGATTCATACTGGAGCTCCAACTACAAAGTAACTACCGAGTATTGCGCAAACTACAGAGCCAACCTACTGTGTTAGAAAACCCAAATATATGTAGCTGTATATGTGACGCTAACATTCAAAAGTGTCTGTTTTCAAATCTCGCAGCATATTAAAATAGCTTTGAAGTCATGAGGTTGTGCATTTATTGTGCAAGTAATTGTGTGAAAATTAGGCTTTCTTAATCTAAACTTTGGACCTCTAATTCATACTTTTTGTAAAAAGGAATACAAGTTGTCTGAGTTTTACACAACCTCTAGTGGTTATTTCAACTGGAAACTGCAGTGATTCGTACATATAGGTACTTTTTTTTTTTTTTTTTTTTTGCAGAAATGTAGGTAGAGGCACATATTTCAAATGAGCCTGGGTAGAATTCATACCATGCTCTCGCATGAGCTAAATCACTACTTACATACTAAAAAGCAGTGAGAACTTTACACATTTTACCTCAATTATTTTATCTTGTCTAGACCTCATGGCCTGCAGTGAAAGAAGCATATTAGGTCGTTTCTGCTTAGATGAACTGACGTGTTCTCTTGTTTTATGTTTGCTTAGATTTAAGTGGGGGACTGTGTTAGAAGTGTACTTACAGACTGCATTTTTGTGACTTGTATCCTTGCTCGGGAGCATTTTCACCCCTCTGGATTTCAGCTCGATGGCCTTCTTCACTGTTGGGAGAGGGTAAAGGTGAAGTGTGTGGAAGTGGAAATCACAATCCATTTATACAGTTAGCAAAGCCTGTCAAGTGCCCAAGAGTGCCAACACCTCATTGAATATGAGCAATCCTCTATGAATCAATCTTGCATGGGCCATCAAAATAAGACTGTCCTGATGGGCAGAGGTTTTTTTATAATTAGCAGAGGTATGACAGATCTCAAATGATGTGCACACTTTGTTATCTGAAACACAACTATCATTGTGGCATGCAATTATTGGACACCTACCAGTATTTGCATCATCTGGAGCCAATTTAGATTTCAAGGCATTTCTGAATTCAGTCCTGTAATTATGCCATGTAGGATACCAATTATTACCCGAGTATCATGAAAATTCACCTTGCATAATTTCCTCTCTGTATGGCATCTGCCCCATCAGCAGTGTTGGGGGTAACACATTACAAGTAACGTGAGTTTATCTGAGTTACTTTTTCAAATAAGTAACGCAAGTTACTTTTTTTTTCCAATTGATTGATTGACAGCTCTCCTGTCCCCATGTTGAGAGAAATCAGAAGATGTTACTGTAGTTCTAAAATATATATGAATATGAATTAATTCATCTCACTCACACAAAAAAAAAAACACAGATTCAGTATTCCTCGAAATGAATAAAAATAATGCAACACAGAATATGACGCAAACCTGCAATAATTAAATGTTAAACAACACAAATATCCTTTATGTATTTAATCCCATTCTATTAACCAATGTCTTTGCTTCTGACCTTCGATGATCCAGTTCAACCATACTAATAAGCAAAAATTACTCTAGACGAACATCTGTGTGTCTTTTTTTTATTGCTGAAGTGTGTTGAAATTTATTCTTCTGCATTCTACTGTACGGACGTAAATTTACTTTCCCTTCAGTCTGAGGCTTATTCATTTCACTTTTGGTGTGAAAAGGCTTTTATATTTGCCAAAAATAGAACTTTTTTATTTTAAAAACAAACAAGCAAGCCCTGTCCACGTTTAAAAAAATTACGCAAAAGTAACGTAACGCATTACTTTCCATAAAAAGTAACTAAGTAACGTAATTAGTTACTTTTTATGGAGTAATGCAATATTGTAATGCATTACTTTTAAAAGTAACTTTCCCCAACACTGCCCATCAGTAGGCTTTAATACAATAATAAGGTATTTTAATAAATATGATAGACACAATAAAGCGATTATTTGTTGTGAGAAATAACCCCTTTAAATGTATTTAAAAGCCACCCTTGCTATGCCCTCAAACTGCCACAGATGTTGGGGGAAAAAGGAAATAATGTTATGCACTATAGCATTTTGTTTCCATTTTTAACTGAATTCAAAAATTTAGGAGATAAATATTGCAATTTTATACCAAACATTTCCTAAATCTATTACTTATCCCAACACTGTATAAACACACATGGGGTTAAATATTAAAGGCCTAAATTTAAAATGTATATATTTGATTTGCAAATAACATTTCCATTCATTTGGATTACACAGTTTTAATATAAACTAATAAACTTAATGTGATGCATATTCATCAGTCATACATAAATAAAAACAGGTAAGAAAGACATATGATTTCTGTTAGAGTATTAATAAACGGAATGTGTTTTATATACAAAATAACCAAGTTTACCTAATTATCATCCATAAATCCACCTTGTGTGAATCTCATACAATTTTTTAATATTTGAATGTTGCTTGTTCCACAGCTACCCATATTTTACCATGCTTATACTTTTAAACTGAATAAGTATAATTATTTTCACAATTAATAGCATTTTGCATTTTCTGTGTATTCTGGATTCATGCATATTCTGCGCATTCTGGATAAATGCATTTTTTAAATATATACTGTATATATTGTTTTAATAAAATCAAGTAGATGTTAATAATTAATATGAAAATACACCATTATTTATTTATTATTTTTGCAATAGCTTCTTCAGGTGTGCTAAAGTCTGATGTTGCTCATCCATATGCTAAGCAGAGGATTTACATTCATCTGACGATTCAATCCAAATTGATGTAAATTTGATATGCAATTCAAATATGCCTACATAAATCTTAAAAGCATAATCATAATGTATTTTGTGTATTATTTAACATAAAAGTCAAAATTATATATCAAATTTAACAAGCAAATTCACAATACACATTTTGTCATTCACCATAAATTAAACTGATCACAAACTAAATTATAACCCAAATGTTATTTTTTTAATCCTCATATTTGTAAAAAAAAAAAAAAAAAAGAGCGAGAGAGAGAGAGAGAGACTTTTACTGTGACCTCAGGAATAGGTGTTCATGTGATTGCATCACTGTAGCTATTTCTAAGTGGTTAATCTGACAGTGTTACAAACGTCCCAATTCTCACCTATTCATGCACTAAGACTGTGGCCATTTTCAATCCATTGTAAGCATGCACATAATTTGTAGTCTACACTAATTGCAATACTTCAACTGTGCATATATTTTTGTCATATAAAAAGAAAGTGCATTTATAGCCAACACTCTAAAATGTAACAAATTCAACAACTCCCCTGAGCTTCCTCTGAGATTCACGGCATCCCTCGCTTATTATGCAAATAGAAAACACGATCATAAACGCATATCATGAAAATGATTTAGAAGCGCCTCATCTTGCGTTATTCACGTTAGAAACATGAATTCCCTCACTACTGTCGTGACTGATTTCCCAAATATAAACAGGGGGTAGGGGGTGGGGGGCGTTCAGTGGGATGTTGTAATCATCATTCCAGCAATGTGTCTGCTCATTGAGTCACTTAGACAAGCCAAGATGTCATTTTTAGCTACAGAAGAACACGCCAAGGGATGTGCTGTCTTTCATTGCCAACTGTCCCAAATCTGCCAATGAGCGCTCCTCTCCTCCAATGTCCTACACACACTGAGCCCTTACCTTGATACTGGGCACTAAATCCTTTCCTCCGATGGTTGCTGTCAGATGTGAAGTGAAGCCGCAGCCAATTCTTGCTACTGATGACAGGGGATGGCAAATTCATTCCAGTCAGCCTGAAAAGAAACAAGATTTTCATTTCACTGAACAAAAAGGCGATTAAAATCAACTGTACGATCAGCTTCATTACAAAATTACATGACATAAAATAAATAAGAACACAGTTTTGCACACATATGGGTTGCAAAAAAACTTTTATTTGATTCAATGAACATTGAAGTAGATTCACATAAACAATTCAATTGTAATTATTTAACCACTCCCTAATCTTATTTTACAAACATATCCTTTATATTGTGTTGGAGTACTAATTAACAACAGTTTTGGGACACCCAACAATGGCCATTTGAAGATTAAATTAAACTGAGAATAGCGAATAACTTAGCGCTAACTTCTTTTGTGAGACGTGCTTCTTTCTAAAACGCATCTTGACATATGGATGATCACCATCTCACGTTAATAGCACCTGGAGAAGTCACTGGTAAAATAAAATCTAAATTTAATAACACTGACTCCATTGTGAGAGCAAAAAAAAAAAAATCTTGCATTGTTTTCCTCAACACAAGCTTTGATGTCATTAGGATTCCTTCTGTTCTTTACCTGCTGCTTTTTTTTTTATAG